TAGGACTATTTATACTATGTTAATAACTGACCTATAGGACTATTATACTATATCAATAACTGACCTATAGGACTATTTATACTATGTTAATAACTGACCTGCAGGACTATTTATACTATGTTAATAGCTGACCTGTAGGACTATTTATACTATGTTAATAAGTGACCTAAAGGACTATTTATACTATTATAATAACTGACCTAAAGGACTATTTATACTATGTTAATAACTGACCTGTAGGACTATTTATACTATATTAATAACTGACCTGTAGGACTATTTATAATTTGTTAATAACTGACCTGTAGGACTATTTATACTATTATAATAACTGACCTATAGGACTATTTATACTATATTAATAAGTGACCTATAGGACTATTTATACTATAACTGACCTATAGGACTATTTATACTATATTAATAACTGACCTATAGGACTATTTATACTATAACTGACCTATAGGACTATTTATACTATAACTGACCTATAGGACTATTTATACTATAACTGACCTATAGGACTATTTATACTATAACTGACCTATAGGACTATCTATACTATATTAATCCAATGCAACTTAACTTCATTGTTATTGTAATAATTATTGAAGCTTTAATTGAAGTATGTTTAATTTGGATAGTCAAGCAAAGCTTCAAAAGAAATATCTCTGCAAGCTGTTCCTAATTTTGAACTGAGCAACTAGAGGAAAGGCAGCTAGTCAACAACACCCAGGCAACAGGACATAAACTATGGACCCTTGGATTCACAGTCTGTCATGTTAACCACTAGGCCATGAGTGGACCACTTGAAATATGTATTTTTTATTACTTACTTTCTTTTGTTTTCATGGTACACAGCAGTATCTGATGGTTGGTTGTACAATGGCTAATGTAAAAAACAAAACAGAACATCAACTATAAAACGTATAATAGATTGATTGGTATTCGATACAGGTTAAAAATAATAGATTGATTGGTATTCGATACAGGTTAAAAATAATAGATTGATTGGTATTCTGTACAGGTTAAAAATAATAGATTGATTGGTATTCTGTACAGGTTAAAAATTAAAAATAATAGATTGATTGGTATTCTGTACAGGTTAAAAATTTGGTATTCTGTACAGGTCAATCTATTACTGAGTTCTGAATTATTTACAAAGATCAGTGTTTTTGATGTATTAAAAATAGCAGACTTCAACAGACCAATTACAATCCTCCAACATGAAATGAACCTAATAAATGATCCTGTGTAACTAATTAGTAAGGAAACAGATTTCTAATCACCAGGACATTTTGTTACATTAATACAAACAGAAATGGACTTCTTTTCATGTGTAACAATAAAATATGCTGATGCACAAAAAATCTCCTCACAAGTTCAAATCTACGTTTTTAATGTGCCCAGTGAGCTATGAACTTATAAAGACTTGCATTTTAATTTTGTGTCATTCTATTAAAAAATAAAAGTCTTAAAAAAATGCAACATACCCCATATTTGCCCGAATATAATGCACATTTTTTCCCCTCCAAATACTTCCCCAAAAACTGACTGCGCATTATATTGGTGCACGGTCAATTTTGTTAGGTATTTCACTAGAAGTTAACATCATTAATTCATCATTAGAGGTTTCAAAAAAATGTTGCATATCCAATGCAATGGATGATGAAATACTTGGGAATCAGAAGAGGATGAAGCAAAGGTTCAAAGAAGATAATCCTACAATTCTAGAGATGATGAAGATGAATGATTAGTTTAGTGTATTACCACGTATAAACTTTTTAATAAATTGACCCATAAAAAACATTTTGACGAAAGTTTCCAAAAATGTTTAATACATCGATAGTTGTTTACTGTATTTAGAAACTATTCAATACCTTTTGTACAACTCGTGTAAAACACTAAACGAATTTTCATCAATTTACCTTTCAAAATTTGGTGTGCATTATATTCAGGCAAATACAGTAAATCATATTCTAAACATTAATCTTCCCCAACATCAATACTTGGTATTAATAAAATCAAATTGGATATTTTAAAGTCTGGTCTTTTAAATACAAATTTTACACGACCATAATGATGTAAGCAATTACTATTTTTAGCCTTGAATAGCATTTTTATCACTTCAAATTAGATCCAACACGTTCAAGCTAAAACAATAACTACTGAACTTATATTTACGCTGATTAAAAGCTCACACACTTAACATACAGACAGACAAACAAGCTTTAAAATACGAATATGCAGGAAAAGTAAAACCAAGAAATAAAACCTTATTTCTATTTTGTGTGTTCTAGCTACTGAAGATTAACAAGAAAGTGGGTTGAGTGCTAAGTCTGTCCTAGTGTTTCGATGTTACATACACAAAGACATGCCCTGTACAAAATAATCAATTAAGACTACTTTCTGTGGAAATTATGTGTACAGAAAGTATAACACAGTTTGGTTAAAAGTAGTGTGTGCTATATATTTTAAACATTACTCAGACTTAATTTATGACCTCGACAAGGTAACCCTAGTATTTCTCTAAACTTCTGAAAAAATTAAACTTTTCTTAGGTAACTAAAAAGAAATTATAAGCTATGATTTCTCACTTTTTTTTTAGTTACACAAGAGAAGCTGAAATTCTTCGGAAGGTTTAATTTACGTTATAATCTGCTTAAGCTTATACTACCTTCCAGAGAGACTTACCAGATCTATCTTAGGCCCTAAATGCTCCATGAAGTTCTGGGCTTTCCGAGCTTTGTTCTTCAAATTTTTTTGTAAAAGTGAAAAAAAAAAAAAGTTAGTTATCTGAAGAAACATGCAAGAAAATTTTGATTTCAAATTTGTATTATTCTTTTGTCAATGTTTTCAATTTGCTCATATCAGTATCTTCTTTTAGTAAAACAAGAAAATCTTCATCATCCACTAAACATACAAACACAAGATACAAGCATCACAATCATAAGAAAATAACCCAAATTACAAAAAATGGTTTTAAACAATCACAATTCCTTCTCTTGTACAAGATGTCATGGAAAGGTGAACAAGTTTCCACTGCAGCTGAAATGAAAGCAACTATTTTATGTTATTAAATTTATCTACGACTAGTAAACTACTCTGCAAGTGAACTTACCAACAGAGGTGATATAAAACCACTTGAGAGGCACAGTAAAATCAAGTACACGTCGGTGATTTCCTCTCATTAAATAGTATTTGAGAGATACTACAAATAAACAAACTTATAACACCAAAATCTTGTTTTTATTTAATTAGACGCTCAACATTTTGCTTTACAGCTTCTTCGGGAGCGTTTTTAATTTAGAGTCTTGGTTGATTAAAGAGGTTTTTTTTTTATGTTGGAGATATAACAGACAATAGCTTAATTGAGAAACAATTTAAGTTATGAGGTCGTTTATTTATAGTATGTCTTCTATATGCCAATATGCACTACAGTTTGTTTGTTTGTTTTGAATTTTGCGCAAAGCTACACGAGGGCTATCTGCGCTAGCCGTCCCTAATTTAGCAGTGTAAGACTAGAGGGAAGGCAGCTAGTCATCACCACCCACCGCCAACTCTTGCACTACTCTTTTATCAACAAATAGCGGGATTGACCGTCACATTATAATGCCCCCACGGCTGAACGGGCGAGCATGTTTGGTGGGAAGGGGATTCGAACCCGCGACCAGCAGATTGCAATGCACTACAGAAATTAAATAATGAGTCAATGAAGGATGTTAAACTATCTAAAGCAAACAGTACTTGCTTTTACATTTTTTCTACAGATGGAATCTCAAGAATACAAAAAAATGAAGCAATACCTCAAAATAAACAAATATATATTTTTAAGGAGATTATCATCTTTCGCAGGTATATTTAAAACGTAAAACAAAACTTTGCAAACAATTTCCCGAACTGAACAACTCACCTTGTTATCTGAATAAATTAACTGAGCTCTACTGAGTTGTTTCAATTCTGACACTGATGTTTCTTGTGAGATATCGCTGCTATCAGAGGGCTGACTTGCTTCTCTTTCTAACTGATGCTGTTGGAGGAAAAAAGAAAAAAATTAGTTTAACATTTCACCTTACACACTCATCTAAACACTACACCAAACAACTGAGAACATTAGGTAAATATCATTTGCTACTGCTTCCTTTACCTGACAATGCTATAGGTTTAAAAGTTATGGAATGAAAACTATAACAAGCACAAAATGGTTACGAGGTTGATCCCAGGGACCGAGCCCATGTTGAAAGAGTTAATTCAATAAATTAGATGGCTGCCATGGCTTTTATTTCTTGAAATTACATGCAACCATGATTCAGAGAGATTGGCAACACATTCAGAATAAGCATTTTATTCATTCAGTTTAGCTCCAAAGTTATTTTAACAGAACAGGAAATTTAGACTAAAACTTTAATAACAAAATTTGAGGGTGTCATACTTGTATAAGAAAGTAAATTACATTAATATATTAATAGATAGGCAAACAATGATTTATAAGCATAAGGAGGAGTTTTATTGATGGTGGAAGATACATGTTTTGACAGAACATTGGTCTGTTTTCCTCAGGTGGGTGTCACGTCTTCTGCCTTGACTTTCATTTGAATAACTTATGTCGAGAATAAACATTGTTGGAGGGTAAAAATCAACAGCCTGCCGCTGACACAAGTTATAAACTATTTAAAGAAACAGCTTGCCGCTGACACGAGTTATAACCAATCTTCATGAATCTTCTAAGAAAAGTGTCAGAAATATTCAATTTTACAGTTATTCAGCATGTGTAACGAGCTCAACTTTAAAACTTTTATTTCTGATGTCAGTGTTTTCTTCTCAAGGTTAAATATCTGAACAAAACAAACATCTACGTTTCTATCTTTAATTACGAAAGTAACGAACAATCCACAAGATTATCATCACTGTTTTTCGATGACGAGGAACCCACTTTGAGACTAATAATACTTGGACAAGGCTTGAATGGGTAACGAAGAAAAAGTTTAATATAAGTTTAACATAACAGCAAACGGACAAGGTTTTGTCACCATCATTACCCATTCAGGCCATCTCCAAGCATTACTGTCTTACTTTAGTGTGACTAAGTAACAACCTCTTGTACAGCTTGTTTCTACGTAAACCTTGGTAACAAGTCGCATTTTAAATACTAGGTTTAAATTACAACAGAACCACAGTAACCTGTTTTGTTAGTCACCTGTTTTGTTAGTTACCTGTTTCTAAGTCACCTGTTTTGTTAGTCACCTGTTTTGTTAGTTACCTGTTTCTAAGTCACCTGTTTTGTTAGTCACCTGTTTTGTTAGTCACCTGTTTTGTCAGTTACCTGTTTTGTTAGTCACCTGTTTTTTTTGCAAGTTTGTAACCTGCTGATCCAGTTGAACTATTTCTCTATTGATCCTGTTAATCGACTGAAGAACATCATCTTTTGATGATCTCTGAGGAGAAACTAGGAATCTGGTATCTTCTGGAGGTGTTGGAGAAATGGCCTCAACCTGAGGATTGTACATCAGATCCTGGAGAAGAAAACATGACATCATATAAGAAATGTTATATCAACATTTGATCTTTGAATAAAAAAACAATGAAAACAGCTGCATTTAATCAAGTATAATTTCCAACATGACTGTTTCTGTCAACGTTTTAGCCACGTTTTTACTTGAAATATCATCGTTTCATATGTAAACTTGTTCTCGATAATTTCTTTATTAAAAATAAAGTAACAGTTAAAAATAAACTACATCAATTTGACTTCTATCACTGCAAGTACTTAAATAGCTGAACAAAATGTTAAATGAATGTGTGGTTAGCGAAAAGATAAAAAAAAACAATATTTGTTTAAGCATGTAATTAGTTTTTTTAGACAGTTTTCCTTTTAAATAAACTATTCACATATTATTTCTATGTATTTTAATAAATTTCAACAGCATAGTTGTTATATTCAAAAATTTAATAAAATATATTTTCATCTACATTACTATTTTTGTTTAAAGAATTTTGTGCTTTTTAATTAGGCCTATGGAAAACTGAATGTAGTTCACTATAACAGTTTAGTACTAGACTACAGACGTGTCAAGTTAGGCATGTCGAACTGAAACTCCACAAATATTTAGAACTGAAACATATATGGTTGTATATTTAAAGAAACACATATTTGGTAGTTCCAGAAGGAAACAGTCTTTCACCCTTCAGTTTAAAAAACTATTTGCTACTTCACAAAAGATTGTACTGATCATAGTTTCCAATTGTTAAATCAGAAGATCTGAGAAGATTCTATATTACTAATTCGACAATTAGATTGAGATGTGACTGTTACATAATCATACTAATCAAACATTTGTTGACCTAATATCATATTGAGTTATGTGACACTTTGGACAGAAACTATTATACAAAAAACATAAACGAATTTCATAGACTAACAACTTTTTTAAGCCTAATATTTGGAATGACTAAACTCAAAACTAGTAAAGCTTTATAGCACTCACCATCTCTATGCAAGATACCAGGGACATATTTCTTTAGTATTTGTGCAATATTTTATTAAAAATAATGTGTTGTGTGTGTACATAATTAATATTAGACAAGGAGGAAGTCAGTCATCTGGCCTCATTCATACACAGATTAACATTTTATCGAATCTGGCCTCGTTCATACACAGATTAACCATTTTATCCAATCTGGCCTCGTTCATACACAGATTAACATTTT